AAAAAAAAAAAAAAAGAAAAAAGCCAAAATCACATGTTGCTGTTTGTTCTCTCGAGCACGCGGACGCGCCAAGTCAAGCCAAGTCAAGCTAATCAAAAGCAAGCAAGCAAGCAAGAGCACACCGCACCAAGGAAACGCAGCAAACCAAAAAAGCCACGAGCGCGCATCTAGGAAACACACACACGAAGAATGGAAAGGAAAAAATAAACGCGGAACAGACAGACTGACTGGCGCGGCAGAGTGGGTTGGAAATAAAAGAGGAAGAGGAAGAAAAAGAGGAGAAAAAAAGGAGGTGGAGGAAGAAGAAGAGAAAAATTGAGATAATTGAAAGGGAAACGCCCTACTGACCCTAGTAGTAATCCGTGGTATCTTGACATGAACAAGGTTTAAAATATAGAAGGCCAAAACGGGTTTGTTGGTTGCTTGGTGGCGGAGAGAAAAAGGTCGGGGGGAGAATTAGGTGCGTGTGTGTGTGAAGCGAGAGTGTTGTTGGTCTTTTGTCGCCGTTGGCGGAGAGAGGAGGCAGAGAGACGCGTGAAGAAGAAGAAGAAGGTGAGGGGCGGAAAGAGAAGTATAAAAAGGGTGGTGGTCGTCGTGTGTTGTTGTGTGTGTTCGTACGGACCGAAGAGGTCGTCGGTCTTCTCCGCAGAGGGTGCGTTTCAAAGGGAAATAGAGAGAAAGAGGAACGAAAAGAGGCGCCGCATCGAGAGGGGCGAGAGTAGCAGCGTTTGAAAAAGCAGCAGTAGTAGCAGCAAGATCCGCGCGCAACCTGTCCGTCTCTCCGCAACGTAACGCAACACTATGCGGAAGCACTGGTCCACCGCGCCGCAACGGCACCAAAGCCGCACGACGCGAGGCCCGCAAGAGAGGGGGGCCTAGCCAGACCCCGCCTCTATAGCGGCTACCTCGTCGCCCCTCCCGTCATTGGCACATCCGCGTTCCCTTCATCTTCGCCTGGAATCTTGAGCCCGCCTTCCACCGTAATCCCCTCTCTGACCCACTCCATCTGCTCCACGTCCTCCAGCGGCAGCCGCCCGCGCGATACCTTCTTCAGCAATCCCTCCACCACCGTCCTCGCTCCTTCCCACCCGCTCGTTTCGGGCTTCGATTCATCCCAATCCCCATTCTCGTCTCCAAAGCGGCACCACATCCAGTCACATCGTGCGATTCTGTGTACCGCTCGGCTACGGCCGCGCGCCTTCCCTGGGGGCGGGTCGAAGGGCAAACGGCCCTCCATTAGCGCGTATAACAGGACGCCGACGGCCCACGCGTCTGTTTGACGACCGTCGTACTCTTGGCCCAGTAGAATTTCCGGTGCCGCGTAGTCCTCGCTGCCGCAGCGGGTGGTGAGCAGAGGAGAAGCGGGTTCGATACGGCGCGAAAGTCCGAGGTCAGTTAGTGTGATAAGAGGATAACGGTGGCTCTGTGGGGGCTGGATGCTGGGGAGTAGGGAAACGGGGTAGTTGAGAAGAACGTCTAAACCGGTTCTGTCAGCAGATATTGGGAAAGTCCCACGCTCATATACCTACTCTCGAGTTTGATATCACGGTGGACGATGAGCTCTTTATGCAGATACCGTACGGCGCCAACCAGCTCTGCAAACATGCGCTGGACGAGACCTGCTGTAAGGATTTCGCGTCCTGAACTGGCCAAATCGAACAAGTCGCCGCCTGGGGTGTATGTGAGAACCAAGAGCGCCTGGTTCTCATCGCAGTCGAACGCCTTGAGGCGTATGAGCGAGGGGTGGTGTACAGATTTCAACATCTCGACCTCGCGCTTCAGACTCAGTTCCACCCGCTCCTCATCCGCTCCTCCGGCTGGCCCATGCTCAACGATCTTGATCGCAACGAGTTTGTTTGGATCTAGCTCCGACTCGTCGGGTATTTCTTTCGAGGCGAGTTTTTGCCTGGTGGCCAGAAGAACTTTACTGAATGTCCCCTGGCCGAGTTGGCGAATCGGTCGGTATATCTTCTTCTTCTTCTTCTCCGGGTCGTGCCTGATAGCTAGGTATTCTATACCCTCCATATCGGCGTCGTCTTTCATTTCTTCTTCTTCACTCTCCGTCGAGCTGCGGTTGCTTGGTGGGGGCGTGGGTAAGGTCCTTCTTGGAGCGGCGCCAGATGCAGGGGCCAATCCTCTCTGCTCTGCCAGGTATTCTTCACGATGCAGATGGGGAGTTGATTCTGCTTCCTCCGTGATGGGCGCATTGGTGCCGCTAGAGACAGTGACATTCCTCGGCCTTGAGTTGTATGCGTGCTCGGGAACATATTCGCTAAGGCTTCGATTGCGGCCATGGCTGGCTTTGTTCTTGTCCATGTTGGCGCCGTTGGCTTCGACCGCTGCCGTCATGAGGTCGGAGTATCCTTTGTGTTTTTTCGAGGGCGTGCGCGAGGGTGACAAAGTGCCGTTTGAAAGCATCGTCATCGAGTCCTCTTTCACCGTTCCCGTTCCTGAGGAACCGCCTGATCCCGGCCGTTGGTGGACCATGGCGCGCCGCCAAGGGCCCGGGGAATCATTCATTACCAACGGCGAAGGTAACGGTGTAATGTCGGTAAGTGCGCCGAGCGCCGGCGAGGATATGGCGGAGCTGGGAGAGAGCGAACTGGCCAAGCTGGCAGCGGAGACATTGGAGCGGAGACCCGTCTTCTGTATGTCCATGGGTGCAGTGGCCGAGCCTCGCAGCTCTTCTGCCGGCGTGTTGATGATCGATGGCGCGACAGCCGAGTCCTTGGGGCGTGAGGATAAGCGGGAGAAGTCCGTCTGCAATTGTAGGCCGATAGACGAAGGAGAACGACTATGCGCTTTGGCGGTGATGGGGTGAGGGTGGATGGCCGAGTAGACCGGGGCCGTGTCGACGCGAGGCAAAGGGGCGTTTTGAGTGAAGGTGGTATCGAAGGCGACACCACTGTCAGTGGTGTTGGTGGGATCCGTGTAGAGGCGCCTTGGAGGCTGCACGGCTGATGTCGGCAGCTCGTGTCGGTGGGCAGCCGAGACACGACACTGCTGTGTCGGACGGGAGGGGAGGGGGTCTGGCGAAGGCGAATAGCCTTGGGGCTTTGCAAGCAAGCTCTCGGGCTCACCCATTGCGGGGAGAGGGAGGGAGAGAATCAGGCCTTCGGTGTAGTCGGGCGACTAGGCCGTCACCAACGAGTGGGAACCGTGCGCACTCAAGCAGCGTGCCAAGCTTCCTCGACGTTGATTCGAGCGTTGCACTCGCCGCCAATCGCCCTGCACGCGTCCGTCGTCAGGGGAGGGCTTCCTTCGTGTGAAGGAGAGAGAGCTTGGACTCGACGACTGCCCGACCTCGACTTTTGCTCGCCGCGCAACGTGGGTAGGGAAGATCCTTGCTGCTTTCGTCCGCCCCGGAGTCTCGCGCTGTGCGACAGCGCCTGCAACAACATGGCTCACTGCGAGGTCGATGCGTCCTACCTACTGTACTTCGACCGGCAATTTCTACTTTGCATTGTGTGTGTGTTTGAGAGTGTGTGCTCTATGCTATATTGCCAAAGGCAAAAAGGAAAAATCCATAGTCATCCATCTGTGCCATCGCTGCAGCTACTAGGTATCCTGCATTCTGGATTCACCATTCCGTCGCAATCCAACGACAGGAAACCAGGTCGTGACTAAAGCAAAGCAAGGGCAACGAATCTGGGGCTTTGTATGGTTGTCATCTCGTCAAAGAAAACTTTTTTTTTTTTTACTGCTTTTTCGTTCGCGGGGATTTCCCGGCGCATCGGATGATCGAACGACTGGGGAATGTAAATCAAGAAAACGTCTAGGTATCGCTCATCAGGGTAGAGAGCGCGCAAGAGCCGGCAAGGCGACAACCTGCATAACATCAGGCTCGGACTTGGTGGAGGCATCCTCTTCATTGACGGCAATCAAATCTTTCTCTTTCTCTTCCTGGAGAGAACCTTCATGGTCGCTGGCGTTAGCGGCAGTGGAAAGGTTCGCCGAAGAATTGTTGCGGAGAGGATCGGCGAGGCTGCCGAGAGCGTTGGCGAGAGCGGTCAGGACAGGATTTGGGAGGGTCTGGCCGTACGAGACCCTTCCCGAAATCGCCGAGCCATTGTCACGCTCAGTGCCGTCTGTGAGACTTTGGTTAATCAATGCGTCTTAATTTAAAGCAGGTGAGGAGACGTACCTAAGGTAGTTGTAGCTGCCGTTGCCGTTGCCATAGAAGCTGTTGTCATGGTACGACTGGCGCTGAGAGGATTCTGGAGGGTTGAAGAAGCCACCCGTCTCACCAAACTGAGCCGGGCGGTCCTGGGGACCGGATTGCAGCACATGACGGGCGCCCTCATAGCCGCTCCAACGGTACGGAGCCTGAGTTCCCATGATGTGAGCCTGCGCACGGTTGAAGGCGGCTTCACCGGAAGACTGGGCGGTAGGAGTAGCATTGTCGTTAGAGAGCCCGTGGACTGAGGTGCTGCTGCGCTTGGTGTCATCATCAAGCTTCTTCTCCAATTTCTGCGTGCGCTCTTGAAGAAGTTCAATGTGCTTGGTGAGCTCCGAGACCTGGTTGAGAAGCTTCTTCATTGGCTTCGCGTAGTGTTCATCCATGTTGTTAGAGATGGTGGTGATCTCCTTCTTCACAGCATCCAGCTCGTTGGTAGAGCGACCCATCTTATGCTCCAAGGCGTTGAGATGGTTCACAAGGTTGCCGAAGTTCTCATTCATCAACTTCCGAAGCTCGTCGTACTTGGCAGCGCCGTCGGCAAGAACCTCACTCTTAGTGCTGGCGCTATCAATCTGGATGCCACGCATAATCTCATCAATGTGAAAGTGGAGGACATGGAAGTGAGTGAGCAACTCGTGGTCAGGTGGAAGGCCAGGCAGCGCCATCATCGGCTGTGGCGGAGGGGACGAGAAAGAAGCACGAAGCGGCGATGGCATGGCGCTAGGATGATGAGCGACGGGGCTCATGCTGAAGATGGCGGCCTCTTCGGTCTGTTGAGCGAGCATGGGAGCCAGTCCAATCGACTGCGACGATTTGGCTCCGTTGACAGAGTTTCTGTTGTTCGTGTCGGCAGAGTGAAGCTCAGCGTTGACAACAGATGCGTTGTCGGCGGCCGGCTTGTGGGTGGCGGCTCTGTCGAAGCCCGGGCGAACAGATTCGGAGCGCATGTTTTTCGGGGCTGTTCCTGAAGTGTCAGTGTGAAGTCTAGGTGAGAGGTGAAGAGCGACGTGACGGCTCAGTGGAGCATTAGTAATTACCTAACGAAGAGCTACGAGGTGGGAAACTTGGACGGTCACCAAGGGTGTTGTTCGCGATGTCGGGTGGAGAGGAAGAAAACGGAGGTGGAGCTTGGCGGGTGATGTAGACGGAGACGGAGTTACCGCGCTAAGAACATGGAAGATTGTGTTAGCATCTTCGTTGGGCAAAATGAAAGCTGTTGCCCGTTTTAGAAGGCGCTGTTGCCATTTCGAGAAAGTGCCAGCACACGTGATCGAAAACTCACCTTTCCCATGTTCGGGCTGGCGACCGAGTACATTGACGGAGAATAGAAGTAGGTTGGCGGGACTTCTGGGCGATACACGGTTGCAGGCAGGAGCCCTCCTGGCAACAGGCCACGTCCGCTAGAGCTTCCGGACTTGCGACTACGAGACGCGACCGGTGATCCCTTCTCCCGCAGCAACAGCTCCTGTGCGTCAGCCTTGCTCTCGACACGTGCGCGCATTGAATATACGCTTGGGACTTTCTGAATTAAGTCCATGTAGACCTCTGCACCGTGTCTGATATATGCGCTATCCTGATTGTAGTCAATGCTGTTAGCGTCTTCCACTTCATCCGCCCTGTTCTGTAAACCACTCAATGCAATTTGTGCAGCAAGTCTCGCTTCGTCTTCACGAGCCTTTCTTACGTGTGGAGGGGTGTCCTTCTCTGGAGGCGTCGGTCGCCTAGTGCTGACGGATGCATGTCTACGTCTGCGCCTCCTTTCCCTCGGCTGACGAGCCTCACCGTTGGCACCATCACTGTTCGGCGAAGTTTGAAGAGTGGTTGGCTGGTCCTTTCTGCCGGTCTCTGTCTGCTTGTTGTTCAATTGCGGAAGTGCAGTCAGGGTACTTGGACTACTGCCGGGCGCTTGCGATACGGACGGAGCGCTCTCAGCGCGTTGGTGACGACGAGAAGACTTGAATGGATTCTTCGCTGAGAGCGACGCGCTGATCGCTTTGGAAGCAGCACTGGAAACATTAGTTGACAGAATGGTGGATTCATCGGAGAATGCAGTACTAAAAGGATGTACCGACCGAAGAGAACGCATATTGATATTCAAGCCGCGAAGGATCTTGGAGGACTTCTTCGCCGGCTTTGCGTTGTTCGTGTAATAGACTCTAGTCGGCTGTGTGGGAGTATCATCGTCTGAATCATATCCAAACGTCGAGGTGATAGGAGGGGTTCGATCAGTGTTGGACATCATCTTCATAATCTTTCTCTCTGATCTGTTCTCAACCCAGGCGCGTTCGGTTGGGACAGCATCGTATGCGCCCTCTGGGACGAGTTGGAGCTCGTCAAAGCTGTCGCTAGGGGATCGACCGCGGCGACGGTCCCTGTGTTGGTGATCCGGATCTAAAAACATGGTGATTGTCGTACTAGGAGCTTCGCTGGTTGAAACAGAATCGTTATGTTGATGGGAAGAGGCCGCGACTCCGCGAACGTTGTCACCGACCACAGTCGGCATAGGAGAGGATTCGCTTGAAGACACCTGAGCCTGGATCTCACGTATGTCGCGATAGAGTTGGGTTTGTGATATGCGAAACTCTCTGGGCGCATTGCCACCTGGAGACGTCTGAGTGAGCATGTCGGTGCTGTCAGTGCTGTCCGTGCTGTCCTGCGGAAGAGTAGCATTGGTGTGCTTGACTGGCGACTTCGCGCCGCGCTTCGACGGCGAGTAGCAGTTGTACATTGCTAAGGGCGCGAAGTCGCGCGGGTATGACTAGCTTGATTAATCAGTAAGGGAGACGTTGGCGTTGGTGTTGTTGGTGGTTGGTGGCAGTGGGCGGGAGCGGGGAGTGGCATGAGGGTGAGTGACTTACTAACTGAAACTTCTTGACTTCTGATCCATAAGAGTATGGCGACGATTCAAGTTGCGCTGTTACCGGCAGGCTTGACTTATTGGGACGGAACGTGGATTTTTGTTAGTGACGCAATATGGTGAGATGTTCCTGGGCCGACTTTTTGGAGACAGGTGAAAGCTTGGGAAATGAAAAACACAGTAACAGCACCAGGGCTCCTGAAAAGCCAGAGATTTGAAAACAGATGAAATGCTTAAAAGAGAAAAAAACCTGAAATAGGAACCCGAGCAAGACTGCAGTCATAACTTCAACACTTCGTCGCCCCTCTAAGCTCATGCAATTCCCGTTCACCCTCGACCGCTTGACCTCAACCCCTCGCTCTAACTGCGCTCGCTCCACATGCTCCAGAAGCGCTAATCGCCCAAGCTCCTCCCAGTTCCCGCCGACATTCGCTTACCAAGGCCACATAGATCCGATCCATCTATGAACATTCGCGCATGTCGTCGGGAACTGTACGTCACGTCAGTCGCACCATGATATATAGAGTCCCAAGGCCAAAGCAACGAGTCTTTCCAATGTTTGTTCTCTCAACTGGAATGTCGAAAAGTCGCAGAAATCTCAAGGCGAGAATCAGATCCGCTACCCACACACTAAGCGCCGGGTCTCCACAACAAGGTATCCGGGAAACCACCCCGCGCCCGTCCTAAAGAATCAAAGAAAATGAAGCATAGGTATTGGCTATGCTGTTTGTGGCTGCGCCGAAAGCCTTATGGTAGGGGGAATCACAGTACGACGCAATGCGAGCGCTTGCCCGGCTTCTTTGTCTGCGGAGGCTCGAGAGCCGCAACAATTGCCTGCAAAGATATGGGTCAGTCACAGTACGCGCGGGCGAGCTGGGGACAGGCCAAACCCACCTCGTCGAAAACGTCCTTCAACTTGTATTGTGTGAGCGCCGAACACTCGACGTATTTGACAGCGCCAAGCTCTTTGGCCATGCGCTCACCGTCCTCCTTCCTCACCGGCTGCATTTTCTGCTTCGCGAGCTTGTCGCGGACCGAGGCATCGTCTCTCAAGTCGACCTGGGTGCCGACAATAAGGCAGGGGACGCCGGGGCAGTGGTGGTGGACTTCCGGGAACCACTTTTCCCTTACGTTTTCGAAAGATGCGGGCGACGTCACGGAAAAGCAGACAAGGAAAACGTCAGTCTGCGGGTATGAGAGCGGTCGGAGACGATCGTAATCCTCCTGTCCGGCGGTATCGAAGAGGCCCAGGGTGTACGGCTCGTCGCCAATCCTGCAGTCAAAAAAGGGTTCAGCGGCGTCCATCAAGACACCCGACGTCGCATCTCATCGACATGACACTCGTCCCCGCCAGCGCCGTTCAGGGTCGAGGCTTACGGGCCAGGCAACCCCCAGGCGGCGCGCAGGCAGCAGACGTGAGCATGTATCGGATGGAAAGGCCCACTCACATGACGGTAACGGCATAGTTATCGAAGACGGTCGGGACGTATTCCGAGGGGAACTTGTTGGTGGTGTAGCTGATGAGCAAGCACGTCTTGCCGACGGCACCGTCACCGACGACGACACATCTGCACGAGTCTCAGATTAGCAGACGCCCAACAGCAGCCCTGGTCTAATCCATGCAGCACGTCGCAGAACAGTGCGCGGCGGCTTGCGGGTGGCGGTATTGTGGTATACACACTTGATGGTGGCTACGACCATGTTGATCGCTGGAGAAAGCGTGTACTCGATGTGGAGAGCGAGGCGCCGATCGGAGGTGGCAGGGTCAGGAGCGAGGTGGCAGGGCGCGCAGCGGAAGCTCGGGGTGTAGAAGTATTCTAAGCACGGCGGTGGTGGTGGATTAGGAGGCCTGGCAGCTGGGGAGCAAGTGAGATTGCTAGGCGATCGCTGGCGGTGAAGTTATCCAAAGGAAGGTGGAGTAATGTGAAGGAGCCTAAGAGACCCATAGACCATCAGTACCGCCCTCCGCACCGCGCAAGGAGCCGTACCGCAGACCCCGAGATTGAAACCAGTTACGACGCGTGCTACGCGGAGTGATCTGTGGTTGAAACTCGAAACGTAAGATGGCTGCTCCTGGTCGTGGGTCTGATTGCGAGGCCGAGGGCTGGCTACGAGCGCGACGGCGAGAGGGGCACGGCTAGAGGATGCTTGCTTGTGTCGTGCGCAGGCGGGCGGGCAGGAGGCGGCGGCGCTCTTTGTGATCGAAAAGGTCCTTTTAGAATGGCGGAGATTGATGGCGCGAGTAGACAGCCCCCTTTGCCGTCCTGATTCGCTCGCCGCCCACGCCTCGCCAGACCACCAGCTTCCCTTTCACGCATATACACGCAGCAGTCGCACAACCCGCGACAGCTCATCTACCGCAGGCAGACAGACGTGTCCCTCGACCGCCCGGCTCCCTTGTCGCGTTCACCGTCGTGAAACCAGGTGCATGCGTTTTAGGCTTTGTTTCACCTTCCCAGCTCCTCTGCTGATCGTCATCCGTCTCCAACTACTATTGTACTAACTACTCCTACTACTACTCCGTACCTATTCTACACACTCCCTCGCCTTCTCCGCCTCATCATCAACCACGCCCGACGCTTCCCCGTCTCCGCATCCCCGTTGCCTGCTGCTCCTCCTCCTCCTCCACCGATCACCCGTCCCTTGACGTTTTGGTCCATCTGCCGGTCAAGGATCAGCACCTGCAGCTACACTGTACGCGCCCTTTTGCGAGCACTCACCTTCTCCAGTCTGTAGTTTTTCATAAACAGGCTCAGCGGAACCAGCGGCGCGGCTGCGCATACGCCGGCAATCAGGATCGTGGTCATGGTCTCCTGATACGCTCGGATGATTGCGTCTCTTTCTGGACTTTGCCCAGCCCATCCCGTAGACGCCAGTGTAACATTACCGTAAATTGCCGAGGCTTGGTTCTTGATGTCCGCCGGCAGATATCTCTCCAGTTTCCCGGGAAGTATGTTCGTCCAAATGGCACCCGAAATCGCTGAGCCGACGGCCCCGCCAATCTCCAGAACCGTCAGGAAAACCGCCGTGGCTGCCGCCACTTCTTGATGGCTGGCCGATGCCTGGACACCTAGTTGCGCCGGCACGTTCAGACAACCTCCTCCAATCCCCATGACAATTTGGCAACCCACTAGCGTCGCCGTTGAGACGCCAATCCGGCGGTAACGGTACATGAGACCAAGGCCCAAAAGATAGATACTAGATCCTAAGGTAACAAAATATTTATAATGCCCGGTGTACTTGATGAGCAGCGAGACCACGATTGACGCAACCGTCGAAGTAAAAGTGAAGGTCTGCGTTATGTGACCTGCCGCAACCACGGATTTGCCCTGGACGACCAACAGGTAGGAGTTGAAGTAAGGGTAGACAGAAAGGTAAAAAGCCACTACAAGGTCAAAAATCAGTCAACTGTTGACGTTTTTCAGCAGTGCGCAACTCACTGAAGTAGAAAAAGGCAATTGTAATGCCAGCCAGCACCGTCCTGTCTCGTATCAAGTCCTTTGGGAAAAATGCGCGAGGCGCCAGTTTTTTGCTCCGTTCCCAGAACGGAAAAACAAGAAGACATACAACTCCAACCACCAGCATGGCGATGATGCTCCCATTGCGCCATTTTCCGGACGCTTTTGAAGCCAGGGTGAGCGGTATGAGTATCAAAGACACTGCCGCTGCGAGTAGCAAGAGTCCGAAAAAGTCAAGCTCGAACCATAGGTTTTTGAGCATGAACCAGACACTTTTGCCTTTAAAAGGTGAAGACGGAAGAATACCCATCTTCTTCGCCTTCAGTCCATTCAAGAACAGAGAAAGCGCAAGGGGCAGAAAAGCCGTCGGCAGGACAATGGCCCAGATGCCATATCCCCAGCGCCATTTGGTGTAGAGACTTTGCGCAACTTCTGGGCCGACCCAGACGTTTATCAGAAAAGGAATGTCAGGAATCGTGGAGAAAAGAGCCCTGTTCAAAAGGTCCGTGGTGTCTGCAACAAAAATTTGCTGCAATATTTGCAGTCCTTGGGATCCAGCAGAATAGAATATCTGCGCAGACGCGTAGGTTTTGACGTTGTTGGAAGCTGCTTGCTGGATGTAACCGATGGTATACAGGCAGACTGCAAAGGTGAAAGATTCGAAACGGCCAAACACATCCGCGACCTTTCCCATTGGAGGTTTAATCACGGCTTTGCTCGTTAGCACAGCTCCGGTCAATTGGTTACAGGCAACTAACAATTGACCACCGACTGTACCACAGTTACCGTGGAGACTAAAGAATGTGCGCTAAAGGCTGACGTCGCAAACTGAGTTAAAAGATTTGTGGTTTGTTGCTCCAGTGATGTGGCGAAGGCCATGAGGTAGAGGCTAAAAATGCATCAACAGCAAGCCAATGGATGGCCATGTTCATCAGCCTTACCCGGCGTATGCCGCAATGAGCGACCATTTCGTCCACGCAGTGCTCACTGCTTCTATCCTTTTGACGCCTGCTTGTGCACTCTCCGAGCCATCCGAGTCGGTTGCCTCTGCGTGCTCATTCTCAGAGAGCTTCCCCATTTCGTGGACTTCTTTGGGCTCCATGGCGCAACAAAGGAAAGCGGTGACAAGGTGCGAAGTCACTGCCCGGCGTCGCGCCTTCCGGTCATAGAGACGACACGCGTGAACTTTAAATACTTCATAGTGCCGAGACGTTCTACATTCCCATGGTTGAATCAGATAACGGCCAGTAGGACGATCATCTGGGGCGTCGCGCGTCGCATTGGACGCCTCGAACCATGGGTAGCCCGTGGTCTGAGGTCATTAAAGTTATCTGATTTTGCGGGAAGACCGCCTGTGCGGGCATCGATCGGGCTGAAATCGTCAAGGGTCCTCCTGGTCCCAGCCAACGAGCGCCGCCTGCAAAGCTGGCAAGGTGGCATTCCGGGCGTCTTGGGTGCAGCCATGGCAAAACACCAAGCGCCCTGGGCGCAGCACAGCTGCTCTACATCTTCTATCAGCACAAAGCCGATCGAGTTTCGTCCAGTCGTCTGGATGAAGAGGGTAAAACCTCAGCTTTGGACTATTTATATCCAGGTTCCATCCATGGAGTCGGGTTCGATCTGAAGCGCGCGGGTCTCGGTTGCCTAGAAAGAACCAGCTGTCAGTGCATATGCAAGCCCAGTCTTCGTGTATGTACTGTGGTATTTCTTTGTCTATGCATAAGGGATGGTACCATATTTGGGTGCGCTATTTCCATCCGAAGGATCGGCGGCTTGAGTTGTAACGGGCCCCCAAGCCCCATCGAAAATCGAGACCAGTGACTTCAATACCCCGCTGACATCGTTACAACGTGGGATGCGCGCTGACACGGCTCGGTTCATGAGACGTCTGATCGAATTCGCATAAAACCCAGCTTTTATGCGTGACTGTCTAGTTTTTCACTGCTAACACACCGACGGGAAGTCCGAGGCTTTTTCAAAAAAATTTGAACCGTCGCCATGGCTGCCTGACGACCAGACTAAGTTCTCCGCACGAGTGGACTGGAGGTCTCCACCTGCACCCCCGCAAAATCCAGATCTGATGTCACGCTTCTGGGTCCGATGATGAGCAGCTCGGGCCGAGCCGGTTTGCCGGCACAACTTCAAAAAAGCAATATATGGTGTGCACGGATAGAGCGCACGCTTTTTTGTCGACGATGGCCAAGATACAATAATAACGCAAGAAACACATCGAGAGAGCTTGGGAGTTCAACATTGCCTACAAGTTCGGTCTTTTTGCCCAGTGGATATGACTGCAGCAGAATCTGCTCAGATACGGATCCAGGTCCTCTCCGACCTACATCTGGACCAACCCACGGCATACGACGACTTTGGGATATGTCCAGTAGCACCTCACATTGCACTACTCGGTGACATTGGTCAGGCAAGAGATGATGCTCTTTACCACTTCCTTCGGCGACAACTTGAAAAGTTCCAAACCGTTTTCTTTCTCCTCGGTAATCATGAGCCTTTTCATACGTCCTGGGAGTTTGCAAGAACAAGAATGCGCGACTTTGAAACCGCTATAGAGAAAGAGCGTCAATCCGGGGTGCTACTCGGCCGTTTTGTATTCCTCGATAAGACAAGAGTTGATTTGTCGTCAAAAGTCACTATCTTGGGCTGCACGCTGTTCAGTGACATTCTTACCGAACAAAAAGAGCTTGTTAGCATGAAGCTAAAGGATTTCGATAATATCGATGATTGGGCAATCGAAGACCACAAGGCCGCGTATAACGCTGACTTGGCCTGGCTAAACGATCAGGTTTCTCAGCTTGCTACATCTGAACCGCATCTCCAAGTCACAATCCTCACGCACTATTCACCTACGTTGGATCCTCGATCCATGGACCCCAGACATACGGGCAGCAAGATATTTTCAGGCTTCATGACAGATCTCTCGAATGAGATCTGTTGGAATAGTCCAGTTGTCAAGACATGGATATTCGGCCATACACACTTCAACTGCGACTTTGTGGATGAAGGAACTAGGAAAAGGATCTTAGCAAATCAGCGAGGATACTCTAGGTCGCCATCAAAAGGTTTTGACCCGGAAAAGACTGTTACTCTGGGATAAATGTTTCGGTTTATGTGAGATATCATATTAGGTGGAATCGATATATTCCTTGCTATTAGCAACACTAGAAACCAGATAGATGGGTCGGAGATGAAATAAGACGTGCTGCTTCGTAAACCACCTTCCGTTTTGGCTATTTCCCAGTTTTGATCCTCAAAGATGATGTGAGGTGCCATCCTTTTCTGGATGATGGTAAAGGCGAGAGCATGAACTGCGGCCATTGAACTATATGTAATGACCAGTCTGATGACGACACTTGCTAGCCAGTCAATTTTTGTTGGGCTGAGAAGCACACAAAGACTGTTATGCTAAATATATATCCGATCATGATGGAAGGGATAGGCTGACACGCAGCAGGAAGTTGTGCCTGTAGGGCATTACACCATCTTCTTGCACCCTCCAGCCAATATCATATATAGCTGGAAGCATCTCAAAGTAGGGATAAGGCAGTACGTATAAACTTTATCAAAACATCCACTAATCAATAAGTTTTTTGAAAGTTTTATTCCCTCATACATGCAGCACGCTTGCCATGAGAATGGGAACATGCTGTGTATACCCTATTCTTGACTTTCTGCCTTTGGCAATTCGAGATTTCTGAGACGTCTTCTTTCCGAAGTCTCAAGCGTATGCAGTTCGCCGAAATTCAAGGAAAACCCAAAAAAGAAATGCCGGCCACGAACGGGAGTATTGGCTATGTGTAAGAAATGGGCGTTGGTAGATGAGTGGTTTTGAAGCGCAATGTCTCACAAGAGGATATTTGCATATTTTTATTGGCGCTCTAACTGGTTTGAGTGTGACCCCCGGACCGGTGAAGGTAAGCACTAATGCCTACTAAATTTAGCCTCAAGCCAATATGCGTCTCTCGTTTCTCAGCCTTGTGCGACGTAAGTGGACTCGACATTTCGAGAAGTTGTGGAGTCGTGCTGGTGAAATGGTTTTTCAGGGCGAGAATCTTTGGCCAAAGCGGTTTTGGGATAAAAGTGTTGGAATTCGGTCTTGTAGAGAAAGCACACAGCAAGATAGACGTGTGCTCGTGATATTTGGTACTTGCGAACATCGTACATTTGCCGAACATTCATAGTAGCCGAGAGCCCAGTGCTCAATTCTTGACTGCCGATGCTTGCCTCTATCCAGTTTATCGGCGCCGTCTGACTCGATTGTTGAGCATAACGGGAAGGGATATGAGGATGGCAGCAAACGTTATCCGAGACTAAGTCGTACCGCCTTGTCTGGATGTGATCAGCTTTGAGCACATAAGACAGTGATTTTTGGTTTTGGAATGAGCTAACGTCTGTCACCGTCAAGGGGGATAGGGAAGGATATAAGCAGTCCCTACGGAATATACCTTGTCTGACTATAAGCCTGAGTCCTGAACATAAGTGAGAGTTTCTTAGAGCGCACACATATTGTAAATATCTTAACTGGATTTCGTTTCTACTCCGTGCAAGTATTCATACTTCGTTAGGTGGTGAATCTCGCTTGACGGTGACGGACGTTAGACGGGAGGACAGTCTCGAATACACGGAGGTTTGCCCATAGTAGATAGATATTTTCTTAAGAGCTTGTTCATGATCGAGAAAACCGGAGTGATTTCGGTGAATTTATGCCCATTACATTCGTACTTATTTTAATCTGTCAGCATTACAAGGATCGGATACGTCTCGCTTCAACTCTTCTCCGTTCCTTCTCGACCTTGATGGCCTGGTTCATACTCGGCGCTTGTGCGTTCAAGGTAGCTTTGTGCTGTTGCAGTGCTTGCGGAGATACTTCATCTAAGATGAAGTGCCCAATGTGGCCGGTCCGCCATCTCTGTATCATCCAAAGAGCCGCCGCTTCGGTATCAGGCACTGCGCCTGCACCCAATCTTCCGGTCTTCCGCGCAATAGCCTCTAACAGTGGTATAACCTCATTTGTGGGTTCGTGGTACTCGGCGTATAGTGTAGGGTCAATCTTGTTGATGTGGAACAACAGGTAGTCTGCCAGTGTAGTCGGGGGAATGATGGTATCCTTGACACTGCCGCAAAGGGCAAGCTTGAGCATAGACTCGGCATTTGGCATGTAAGGCACAAACACACCAGGTGTGTCGACCAGGTATACGCCTTCAGTGCCTGCCTCGCCCATGATAATCTTGACACCAGAACCAATCTTGCGCGTGACGCCCGGCTGCGCACCCGTGTGCGCAGCCTTGCCTTTACCAACACCCACCAAGCGGAGAGCATTGAGGAGGGAAGACTTGCCAACGTTAGGCATGCCGACGATCATCATGCGAAAGCCGACCAATGATACAGCGTGGTCCGCGTATTCTTTTGCGAACTTTAGGACTCGGCGCACATCGGTTTTGTCCCTGTGATCGGAGAAGTAGACTTTCGCAGGCGCATGCCATTGGCGGATAATCTGCTCATTCTGTGCCATGTCAGCACTTAAGCCTGTAGTTCATGACCTCGTGCAACGCACCTGAGCATCTGCGGCGGTTCCTTGTCTTCCCAGATCCTTCTTGGTATATATGATGAGACGCTCCCGCCCAGCAAGGCTTTCTTCGAAGAGTGGGTTGCGCGAGGTCAGGGGGACTCGGTAGTCGCGGCATTCTATAATCAAGTCGATGCTCGAGAGGAGTGTTTTCATCTTGGTGAGACCGGCGCGGTGGTGGCCGAGGAAGTAGGAGCGCGGGAGCGAGTCGAGGGTCGGGAAGACCGCCCGCGGAAGGAAATGTGAGGCCATGGTGTGTCGGCGACGGGCGACATCATTGCGAGCGGAGAGAGGTGCGCGATGCGGAGAACATGGTGGTGCGTGGAGAAGAAAGTGGTGGAGAGCAATCAGCAAATGTTCGAGCAGGGATCCACCAGAGGCCGACGCCGCGCCGTTGACCGTCCGTCGTCATTGTGCCTTGCGGGGCCACACCGCCAGCCAAAGCCAACCTTCTCCAGACGCGCACGTGGGGCACTCGTCAGAGGGCATAAAATGGCCCAGCCCGGTGCGCCGCGGGCTCTTCCTTCGTACCTATCTGCCATGGCTTCAGAAAAAAGCTCCGTCTTTGCGCACAACGGCCTTCTCAGGCCCTTTCGCCTGCTCAGGCAGGACTTGACTAACCTGCCCAAACGCTACCGTTCAGACTGGTCCATCTTCAACCAGCTGATCTTCGCCAGCGCCGTCTATGTCTTCTTCACCAATCTCCTCCCGGGAATTACCTTTGCCAGTGATTTGTACGTGCTTACAGGCAAGAACTGGGGCACAATAGAAGTTGTCTTCAGTACAGGCCTTTGCGGCATCATCTTTTCTCTGTATGTTCTTTCTCTCTCCGGCTCAAAGTCAAAAGGCTAACTCGCTAGATTCTCCATCCAGCCTCTTACAATCCTGGGAGTCACTGGACCGTTTTCTATCTTGGCGGAAAATATTTACTCGTTGTGTGATACATCTTTCAATGTAAGATCATCCATCCACCATCATATGTTGGATTATTCAAATCCTGTAGATCCCGTTCCTACCGTTCATGTCATGGTCTCTCATCCATGCTGCGTGGATGCACTATCTGCTTGCAATCTTCAACGCTCACGATTACACCATGCGCTATGTCACAACCTTTTCAACGGAGATATTCTCTTTGCTGAACAGCATAATTTATTTCCACAAAGCCATCCAAGAGTTGCAGCGGGCACATGATCACCTTTCGTTCGCCGCATTCCTCTACGCCATCATCGGGGCGGTCGGATCTTGTTTGCTTGCTGTTTTTCTTGCATCCGCAGAAAAATGGAAGCCGTTATTCCATCGATATATCCGGATGGGTCTATCCGAGTATGCAGCCGCAATAAGTATCATATTCTTCATCGGGATACCGCATGTTGGAGAGCTTGCTGCCCTGGACAAAGAGACCCTGCAAGTCAGCCAATCCTTTAGGCCAACTAGCCCCGATCGGACGGTATTTTTTGTCAAGTTCTGGCAGCTACCCGTTGAATGGATTTTTGCAGCCATAATCCCCGGCTTCATCATCACCGCACTGTTCTTCTTCGACCATGAAGTTAGCAGTATCATCTGTACTATCAACCGATACGGTACTCGCAAACCCGGAGGATTTGCTTGGGACATTGCCTTACTAGGGACCACGACTGCATTATGTGGAATTCTTGGGATACCTCCTGCAAATGGTCTTTTACCCCAAGCACCACTTCATTCCGAAAGCTTGATGCACGAAGAACGTGAAAATATACAGGTTATGGGGCCTGCAGCAGTCGAAACCACTCAGGCTAGATCCTCTAGCCGTGTGTATGAACAACGATGGAGTCATTTTTTGCATGCAGCTGGAATTCTCTGCTTCGTCAGTCCACCATTCATGGGAGTTCTTGGGTTAACTCCTACGAGCGTACTCGCTGGACTTTTCATGTTCATGGGTGAGCAGAGCCTTTCGGTCAAGTAAGTCGATTTTAGTTACGAGCACCGGTAAATGCCTGCTAACTCGAAACCAGCCCCCTACTCTATCGTACTTTCTACCTGTTCACACCACCATCGGAGCTACCCTCACTCCCTCAGGCAATAAAAAGCTACACGCCCATCCACGGATATACTTTAACTCAGGTTATCGTGACGGTCGGCATCTTCATCATTACTTTGACTAAAGCGGGTCCAGCTTTCCCCATTATCATCATACTTCTGGTGCCTCTCCGGCTACTGCTTATGAACAAGATATGGAACAGAGAGACGTTACGGTATGTGGATGCTTGGGCGTGTAGAGACGGAACTCCTGAGGATGATGAAGATCGGAAAACTGGGGCGAGGAAGCCAGCTGTTGCTCCGCCTGGAGCTGTTTCGCAAGACGTTGAAAGTGGTACGGAAAACATGGATGCTGAGAACGGGGCAATTATGTTACGTCGGCTAGGTTCTGCTAATCGGAAAGAGTAAGCTCTGATGGTCCATAGACGTTTAGTGAAATATAGCGATAGGGCATTGTCATGTACGAAATTTTTGTCCTGCGGCCACTAAAGGTCTCCCTGGGTATGAACTGTAACAAGATATCTAGCTAATTTTTGAACCGGAAGTCTCGAGTTGCACTAATTTGGAACTTGGAAGTCCCTATGTCTCCCAGAGAGGAAACGACAACCGTGGAAAAACTATTAGCCGAGGCTGGACCCAGGACCTCCATCTCAGTCCAAACCGAACCCTGCCAAGCCCTGTGATCTACATCTATCATGACGACCAATGCATCAACATGAACAACATGCAGGCCGTGGACGTAGGTGGTTCGGGGAGGACGGGGTGCAAGCCCCTGAGGTGATGAGACGGCGTGCGAGGCCCGATACGGCCTATCAATGCCGCTACCTCGACGATGTTCGCTCAGCCCTCCGATATCAATTCCAAACGCATGCTGAAGTCTTCGTCCCTGAGGAAGTATCTTGTCGCCTAATTTTCGGGCTTGATTCGTCATTGGAGTGGACGAAAGAAGGACAACCTACCACTGCAACTATCAGTCGGGGCCGCCAGGAATCTTCCACTCCGGACTCAGACTACAGCGTTACAACGGCGCTGTCAAACTTCCTGGACGCAAAAGAGAAAAAGCAGTACCAACGTGCTGTTGCAAAGATTATCATTGGAGCTATTTCTCGTGTTGACGGCTACAAATACTCCGAGCGTCGTACGAATGATACGAGTAAAGGAGATGGGTATCGCTTTCAGTTCATCTGCCGCGACTCTCTGTAGAACAAGGATCGCTCAGCGAATAAAAGTCAGACAGGAGACAAGATTCTTCCTGATTGTGCGATTTCCAGCACTCGTATCTGCTCTACGTTTACTAACGCACTGGGCAGATCTCACGCCGCAGCTGAAGAAAACGACGTATGACTGCAAAGGTGGAATACTCATAAAATTTTCTATCAAAGATCTTTGCGTTGATGTCTTCTATCACCATTTTCCCATCCACCGAAATGCGCAGGATGAGTTCATGTATGCGGTTCCCGGAGAGATGTCACGGGAAACGTCTAGCCCTCAAGCCGAGTAAGTGGTCAATTTGTCTGATTTACTCCCCAAAACATCACTCAGACCTTCAAATGTCGATATTTCCGTCCCAAGCTGCGTTTTGTCAGACATACTACGGGCGAAGAGGCTTATTGAGGGTACAGGGCACAGCTAGACAATACACAGCCACCAACCGACGATACTCAGATGCAATCAAACCAGAACTCAACTCTGTTGCTGCAAAACCCATTTCAACAATCTTTCTCATCCACTACTGCTACATACTCTGCCAATGACGTCGTAGCACCACCTCAACAAGACGAAAGAACCGCAAAACCGCGAAAGAGAAAACGGAAACGAGCGACCGATTCAAACGCTGCCGCTCCAACGGCTACAGCTGGTCCCTCGTCATCCCAAGACACACTCAACATCGACACGCTGGTCACCGTCCTCGACGCGGACATCAACGGCACTAACGGTGAAGCCACGACCACTGTCAGCGAACCGTCCACTCACCCGGTTCAGAGCTGGAGTCACACGGAAGCCAGCAACCTCACAGGTGGCAAGAAGCCCGGCGATTTTAAGTTTAAGTGCGCAAAGGCCGGCTGCATTACTTGCAGAATCCGACGAATCAAATGTGATGAAGCCCACCCAAGCTGTGTAAATTGCACGAAAGGCCACAGAGACTGCACATATCCGGCACCGTTTATCGAAAACAAGAATCACAAGCGCACGAAGAAAGCCCGTGGTGAACGATGATAGTCACAAAAAAGGGCCCGTGAAGAAGAGTTGCTATACGCACTGTTATTTACACCTTCGAGATATTGTTTCGAAAGGCGAGTGCAAGCCGCGGCCATGAAAGGAAATGCTGCATTTCCTGCAGGTGGGAGGCTTCGCAAAAATGCTCTGTCGCTATGACTGCCTGGCACACTTACCGCCGCCGACGGCGGAAGGAAGCGCAGAGTTCACTACATTGCCTGGGGGCGCAAACATATATCATGATCGACCGACAGGCAGCAAGGGTGTTCTTCGCAGGCAGAAGGCTCTACGGTGTCGCTGAATCGCTTAGTGGAAATCGTACAACATGTATGTCCGTACGCGGCGTCTCCCCCGGCATGTCTTTCGATACTGACGCCTCTTGTGTTAGCATTGACACTACTGCCTGCAGCGTTAGCTTCGGATGCGTGTTGATGTCGTTGCCTGTACCTCTAAGACCGGAGAAGACGAAGGTTGCTGATGCGCTGGCGCTCTTCATGGCGCATATGTTCTTTTTCAGTATGGTAGGTATAAAGAATGACAGTAGTGTTGATTTATCATTGTGTTTCTTTATGCGTAAGGTCACAAACACTGCAGTAACATAACCTCCCCCCTAACATAAACCCCCCTCCCTGCCCCATATAAGTCCGTTCCGCCAGTCTCCTTTCGTCCTCCGGGGCACAGTGGTCTAGAGGGAAACAACCTAACCTTAGCGACTTTGTAAGCTATTCGGAGTTCCGTTCCATCGTCGCTACTGGTCAAGTTCAAGTTCGAATCCGGGGGTTGGCACTGGGGGATATACTAAGCAACTTTGTAAGACCTTCGGTGTTCCGTTCCAGGGTTGCTGTTCGATCTGAGGGCCACAGCGACGTCTAAAACGCACTGGGGAAACTCACTATAGTCGGCGGGTTTGTAGGGCCTTTGAGCTTGACTTTTTGCGGCCGTGTGCTCGGGTTGTTGGTGTTGTTGTTTGGGTGTTTCCTTTGAGTCGCGATGGTTGTTGACTTCACTTGTACGATATGTGTATCTACAGGTGTAGAGTTGTGTTTTCTCGCTCATTCCCTCCCCAGCCTGGTTAAGAGTCGCGACAGCAATATAAGTTATGGTGATCCTTTGTTGTTGTTGTTGTCGCTTTCTCCTGTCACACGCTCCGCTTCCTCACACATCTATCTGCTTCCATACGTCCTGCATCTTCTCACACTTTCTACCATGCCCTGAAAGAACTATTATTACACTCCGTCACCCACTCGCATACCCCCAACCATCTATCTCTCTTGCTTCAGCCCTCAGGCAAAAGCAAAGACACCCTCAAACCACAACACCCATACCACACACAGGCCCAAACACAACAGATAAAAAGCGCCTTGACACGACATCGGCTCCGCTACAGCGCAACCACTTCCACACCAGCTTACCGCTCATATGCCCACTCTCCAGCGCCCATCCACTCACTCCCAGAGCGAGCAGCATAGAGTCGCGCCCTCACTCGCACCCACCCCCCCACTGAGCCCTAGCACCGCAACATGCAACATCCGAAGCCATTCCTCCACAACGCCCCAGACCCATCACCAGCCTTACCGCCACCGTCATTGCGCCGCTCCCCGTTCGTCGCATCTACCTACCTACAGCGCACCCGCAGCGTAGCAGCGAGACAGCTAGCTGCGCGGCGGGCATCATGTATGGCCTTGCCTTGTGTCGTTCGTCGAGATAGATACGACACCTGCATTGCCTAGACAGTTGGATGGTACATACCCTACGTCTACGTCTACGCCTACCTATCACGAATGATTATCATCCATCAGTGAGTCTTCACAAATCCACATACAAACGACACAACACAGCACGCAACGACACCACCACCGCCATCATCACCTTAATCTGCGTCAAAAAAGAGACTCCATTTCATTCAAAGCCTCCGGCCAGTAGGCGTAAGCAGTACCTAGCTAGCTCGTCGTCTCCAAGCAGCCAAACCAAAAAAGCAAAAAGCAACAAAAAACCAGAGTTTCCCTATGATATACACCACGCTTTCCCGCGCTTTCAGTGTCCGCGGCGCGCGCAACCAAACAAGGTTATAATAATAATAATAAAAAAAAAAGGCAAGCAAGCAAGCAAGCGGCAGGTTAAAGTGGTATTTGACCCTTGTTGTTGTTGCTTTTTTCTTCCCATCCCGCTCGCTCGCTCGCTCACTCGCTGCCAAGGTTGTTGCTATCGTGGTGCTCAAATGCCACCACCATCGCACCGCAACCTGCAGCAGCTCCGTTTCAAGTCAATAAAAAGTTCTCATCCGTGATCATTGGCCCACCGGCATTGACGAGCCTGTGCTGTCCTGTCCTGTCCATCCATCGCGTCCGCCGCCTGTCATCCTCCTAGGTACAAAGAGAAAAGGCCTCTAAAAGTTTTTTGGTATCTGCCTTTTCGGGGGGTTTTGCGTTCCACAAAAAAACGGGACGTGAAAGACGTTTATGCGGAGAACTTCTTGGTGAGCTTGGCGATGACTAAGAGAAAGCGGTTATGTTAGTATTGCGTGTACTGAGGGTGTTTCAAGTGGCGTGATTTT